CATATAAATAGTGGTTGACATCCTACAACTACCTACCATGTGTTAGCACGAAACAATAAGTATTCATTAACAACGGCATTGTATACCCCTTTATTCTTTTAATACATAGAATAAACATTTGTTGGATGTATTTAGTTGTATTCGGAAACTGGTCTGCAAGCTTTGTTGAAGAAACCTTACAGACACGAACATTATAGGACCTAGCAAAGCTTCTATTTAATATAGCAATAACTAATTTCTTCGTGATTAGTGTCGTGACTAAAGCATGTACCACAGTTTTCTTAGTGTTGTGGACCTCCTCATGGTTCACATTGCAATGAAGGGTATTTATATTGGACTTTCTACTTCTGCCAAGATCCTCTTGGATGCGCATTAGTGACCCAAAATATTGATATGATGTACTGAATGTTGTCTATTGATGTTTTCTTTAACAATTTTTTCTTTTGTAATCCTACGCTTTTAAAGTCAGACATTTTGTCACCTTCTCGGCTTTTCCTGTTATGCTGTTTGGGAGAATATACATATTGCACATTTAGCCCCCATTAAAATTATAATACATTTTTCTCTCTTATTTTCAACCACACGTTTTCCAATAAAATAATATTAAACGTAAATCGAAAGCTTTTCCTTCCTTTCAACCACCCACTCTCAAAAAAAAAAAAAAAAAAACTATTCCTAAAATTATAATACCAAATAATGGGGGCCAAACGGGGGACTTAGTTTTCCTCCACATATTGTCGAATACTAACGATCTGTTCATCTCTTACGTTGAGTTCTGTTGATTTCAAACAATAACATGAAACAGGACATACCGGAACAAGGTTGCTAGTAGGGAATATGTACCCTGGCCCATAGAGATCAGGTTCTGTGACCATAATACTTCCACCAATCAGACTAAGTCTCCTCCGAGGTTAAATATCATTCTCTTTCTTGTCCATTGACTCCATTTAGAAGGGAATCATTGTGAAGATTAGAAAAAATGGCGAGTCTGATTGACTGTATTTTTTGCTATTAATCTACAGTTTAAGGTATTGGTTTAGAGCAAAAGGGAAACTTTCTGATGACCAGGCTTTGCATAGGTAAGAGAATCTTCTTTAGCTTCTATATTTTCTGGTATTTCTCGTTGCCAGCAGCAGTAAGAAGAGTTTTTATATATCAGTTGCCACCTTGGAGGTATATTGGTTTTTCAAAGAGCTCAATGACTTGTGATATGTACAAGTATGGTGCGATGAATTTGTTCATTTCCCTGTTTCCAGAATATTCATTGTATTACTGTTCTGAGAATTATCAGTTATCATTCAATTTTCCTTGTATCCGCACAATCTACTCTTGGGTATACTCTCCTCAAGCATTATAAATGAAGTGATCTCTATTTATTTACAGTACTATTGTGACATGTAATCATTTTTGAATTATTGCTTCTAGATTTGTCTGTCTTGAAAGTTCTTATTCCATATGGTACACCGTACACCGTTTGTTCGTATATCGGAACTAGATTTTTAATCTTTTGTTGTTATGACCTGTCACAGTGAACTCTTGAACTTTGATAAATGGCTTTCTTCAAGACTCAATTATATATAAGCATATGCAATATTTGTGATCTTATATCAGCCTTCTATGCTGTTCCAAAATTTGATACTGTGAGCTGCAGCTACTGTTACAGAGTCGTTTTCCCCAAAAACCCAATTTAATTTTATTGACCAGTATTTTTTAGGTAGATTTCATTCTCTTCCTCTTGCTGAGAATGAGTAACATCTATTTTTATATTATGATGTGGACTTCTAGCAGATGTGTTGCTGCATATACTTCAGATCTCATATTTCTTCAAGTTAGCTTGAATCCTCACCGTGAAAAAGGTTTGAAGTCGGCTTCTGTTAGCCTGGATCACTCGTAAGTACACGTCCTTCCTAGTCTTACAAATTCTTCAGTTTTTGTGTTTTGAGTATTTTATATCTTTAGTAGGAATTATCTACTATTAAAAGAAGGTAATAATTTAACGCTAATTGGCCACACTTTGTCGAACCCACCATGTCAGATTGTTGATTGCATTTGTTATGGAACTCTATAAATAGTTTGTCCTAATTTCATGTAAGAGAAGGATTTGGGTAATTATATCTTCCCTAAAATTGCATCAACAAATTAAACACGCATGCATGTTTATTTTGGAGGTCGAATATTCCATGCCCACGATAGTAGTATCCTACGAGTTCGAGCCCATATTAGCTCGATTTAAATGGTCAGTTCTCCAGGTTTGATTTGGTTTTCCATGTTCTAATTACAGATCATGTACATTGATTTTGGACAGTTTAGAGATATGTGGACAGTGGTTGTGATGAGAAGGGAAGGGGATGGAAGGGAGCAGAGAAAGAATAAGAGAGGAGAGCGAAGAAGAGGAGAGTAAAAATGGAGGCCTTAGTTCTGTTATCAAAATCCTAGTTAATCAAAGTCTACTTTTAATCCCATTTCTCCTAGAATCCCCATTAGGTAGCCATTATTGTTCTCTTTTCACATCAAATGAAAATGTACACATGTTTAACAATGGATAGACATCGTCATTTTCTTATCCATGACTTTGAAGTTTTAGTCATTAGGTTGTCTATTATTCCCTTCTCGGACGAGTACTTGAAATCTCCATTCTATTGTCCAGGATGTGGTTCCACAGGCCTTTTAGGGCTGATGACTGGGTGCTATATGTTGTGAGTACCATAGATCACACTCTTTCATTGCCAAGTTTATATTTTACAAGTTCTTTAACATTCAAATGCTCATTGTTTCATAGATTAACAGTCCCAGTGCTCATGGTGCACGCGGGTTTGTTTCAGGACAAATGTTTACAAGGACAGGAGAGGTAATTCAGCCATACTTACTGTATTCAAGCATTTTTCACGTTAAGTTAATTAGTCTATTTTTTTGGCTATTAATTCTTTTCAAAACTGAGGTGAACCAAACATGTAAACGAGTGATTTGTGTTTGCAGCTTATTGTATCATTGACTCAAGAGGGCTTATTGAGGAGGGCCAAGACACCAGTATCTGCTGCAAAACCCAAATTGTGAAATTACCTCATAGTGAATTTAGAAGAGGAACATCAGACAAATTTCGCAACCATTATTCAGGTTTTTTTGGTTTCCTTATTTAGATTTGGTTTTCACAGGTCATCATTTAAAAAAAAAAAAACAGCTGAAAATGATCTGTGGTTTAGATTCATGATGAAGGAGACGATGAAATAAGTGGGTCGTGAGGGGGAAGGGAAGGAATGGGGCACTGGGTTTGAACGCTGAAAAATTTGAACTGAGTCTGAAATTGGAGATTTTCTAATGAGTTGAAGTGGGGGCACTGCGCATTAATATTTAATCATCGAAAAGCATTCAAGGCAATGAATGAAACTGCACAGCGATGATAGTTAGCATCCGTTTGGCAAGTTTTTTGCAAATATATATAGTTTTTATCCTGTTCGAATCTGGGCTCAGACATTCAAAACTCTATTTTCTTGCCGACCGATAACATCAGAGTTTCCCTTTCCTGATGCTGACATAAATATGCACCTACTAACATAGCAATGTTCAGTATTTTCTCGGTATCTCAAATTTTCCCTGTTGCACCGAACAATACAAGAAGACATGTTTTTCGAAGAAAGGCAAAAAAAATCTTGAATTAAAGTTTCATAACTATCTATTTACATGAAATGTACATATATCAAACTTTGAAATGAATATCTACACATTAAGTACAAGGAAAATGTGCGACTCAACAAGTACAAAAACATTTTGTGAGTTTTGGGCGATAGATGATGCGAACATAGGTGAAGAATTATAACAAAATTACAACCATGAAAGTTATATTTAGTTACCATGAAGATTTACAGATGTTTCAACAGCATTGAAAGGTAGTTTGCCAATCTCACTTTCTTGATTTTTCTTTTGTTTTAAAGACGAACTCTTTCTCTAAGAACACGATGAAAGCGGTCAAAGATAGAAATAATAAATTAGAACATTTCATTTTCGCTACTAATTAAGCATTCTAAACTAGAGGAGAGATTGAAAATGCTCGACTTTGCTCTTGAATGTTCAATTTGTGTTGTTGTCTATCAAGATATCTTACTCGATTAATATATTCTACGACTCTCATATTCTTCTATTTAATTTAAATATAACCTAGTGTACAACATAATGTCACCAGTCTTTCATTGTGTTCTCACTAAAGTTTATCTAAAAATTCTATTAAGTTTTATATTCTCTACTCCCACTTTTATGCAAAGATCGTGCTCTAACATCAACTAGAGTGGGACAACGCACATGTTGTATGGGCATGGCTGACGTCGTATCCATCTTTGAGACTCAAGTTGCACGCGTCACTTTCACAAATAGAGAAGAACAAATTAACATATGCTTGTTTGATTTTTATTTTTCAAAATTCATTTTTGATCGCATATTTTATAAGACTCACAATTTTATCAACTTTTCAACTATACATTTCAATAAATTTTATGAAAACTTACTAAAAATTTAATTTTTAGCTAAACCAGCTTTTAATTCAAATTTGTAGCATACATAGATCGTGTGACTCTAATTGATATAGATTGACCACTTTGTGCTTCAATAATATCTTAGTACCTCATCAACACCCCTAGTATAGACAATAGTGTCCCTGACGTCGTGCACTATGAGACTGTTTGCAATGTCCTAAGAATTTCCAAATGAATTGAGTAAAGGATACTTGGTTGGAGATGGAAAATTGATTTCTGATTTTAACTAATTTTATATAATATTTAAATAATTTGTTAAAAATCTTCCAATCGGGGTCCATAGCTCAGTGGTAGAGCAATTGACTGCAGATCAATAGGTCACCGGTTCGAACCCGGTTGGGCCCTTCAATAATTAATTTTTTTTTCTCCTTTTTGGCACCTGTCAACAAAAAAATTATTATTTCGTCTCGTTCTTGAAACTGAGCAAATCCTTCCTGAATATAAATACTGTGATGGTTGAGGGATTATTGGTCGTGAATAAGCAAATCCCAAACTCAACTGTCTACCGTTTGGGCCCTCTTATCCTTGTAATTTGTATTTGTTGTTGTGGCTCATCTCATAGAAATTTTTCTTATTTTATGATCACCGTGAATGACTGAAAACTGAGAGATACCTTAGACTGTAATTGCCTGAACATTCCAAAGTAATTCATTTATCATACAACATAAAAATGCTACAATAGAATAATTGACAAGTCAAATATGTTTGCAATTTTCTAATTTTTGTATAATCTTTATTCATTTGTGTTATGAATCACGGGATACCCCCAAAGCTAGCTAGTAAGGTTTGAGAACTCCCGTCTATATAAACTCCATACAGAAAGTCCATACCAACCCGTACTTTCGATGTGGAAGTCAAGTAATCTACCTTGCAATAATACTATGACAACCCACCTTGCTTCGAGGTCTCAATGCCCACGACTTTGCATTAGTCATGACTAATTCCACACAAATATTGTTATGCCACTGTCACCATCCATAACACATGATTGTAGGATTGTCGCGTTATTGTTGCAAAGTATGAAACTTGAATGCCATATCGAAAGTATGAGCTTTTTGTGTAGAGTTTATAGGGAGTTGGATTCTCCGATCTTGATAGATAGCTTTTGGGGTATGGTTCTTCCATGATCCATAACAATGATATCACAACATATCATCTCGTCTCTCGGTTGCAATCATGCAGTGTGACTGGTGTCTCCGATATAGTGTTCGTTCGGAGACTTGTAATGGCTAGTGCAAAGTCAGTTTGATGTGGGCGAGGACTGCAAAGTGTTTGTTGGTTGTTTTTGTACAATACAAGGTATGAAACTTGAATCTCATATCGAAACTATTGGCCTTCTGATAGGATTTTTATGGACTTGAACTCTTTAACCTTAACAACTATATAAATTTCTATTGAGTTCGTGTGTGCAACAAAATATGGATGGTCGATGACTCGAAGTACATAGTGTCTATTGTTTCAATATAACAATACACACGAGGTGCTTTATTAGTTTTTATTTAGAAGCTTCTTGATTACGATGTATTTCTCATTTAAGAAGCGTTTGTTTTGGAAGGAATATGTTAAGATTTTATTTGAAATAATGTGCTTGATACTTATGTGATATGCGTCATATTCCATGAAAAGTGGAATTACACATCACTCAAGCCCTCGAGCTGCTCACTTACCCCTTCTATGATTCTCCGCATTGAGGACTTGCTATGCACTTAACAAATAGGTGATACGTGTCATGACCTTACAGGTGGACCTTTCTAAGAATGATACTTCAAACATACTCTATTCACTTGGTGAAATTATGAAAAATGTTTATCCCTCGTTTGGTACCACTAAAAAATTTGATTAAAATTTAAGTTAAAATCAACAATTAATTCAACCACACATTTCATATGACCTACAATTTTTTAACCACACATTCCATCAACTTTTATCAAACTTTTCTAAAAATCTGATTTTAATCTCTATCAAACAGGGGCTTAGTATAGACTTTTGGACACTGATTTTCAAATTCAAATCTAGTTTAATTTGATTGTTCGGCCAAATTATCTAACAATGGACTGCTGCTACTATAGCTACTTCGAAATTCAAATTCATTAAATCCAATCTTACTACCGTACTGTTAATTATATTGGTTGTTTGAACATCTTGAACCATCAGGATCAATGAGCGTCACCTCATCAAGTTAACTAAGTTTTTTGTTGCTTAATATTCAGTGAAAATGATTATATCTTGTGATAGAATCTGTTGAATAGATTTTGATGATTTAGCAATGGAATTTTCTTGTGTGATGCTATAGTGATGTCTCGAGACACAGTGCGGAAGCACGAGGTTTGTAAAAACTTAATATTTGTTTAGATCTCTCATTCAAATCCAAACCAAGACATAAGCCTCCTTATTTTTTGATATAGAAGAAACTAGATAGCTTGAGAGCATTGATCAACGAACTCTCTTTTACAGTACTGTTCAATTTCAGTTCCAAATCAAGCATCAGACCAATAAATATCTAATCCGTCCCAGTTTTTCTTCGGCACTCCTAATGCTTTCCAGACAGTCTTAGAGGCATCAACAATGTTGTTAGGACATGGGGGCTGATAATCATGGTCTGAATCACACCCCATTGTGGAGTCACACTCATCAACCACCATTGCATTCACACTCTTCCCATTTCCATAAATAGTAATATTTTTTAAGCACCTCTTCTCATTGTTGAACCACCCTGTCGACAGTGCCACCACTGGCGTGTCATCTGAATGGTACTTATTGTCACACTCAGATGGCCCACCACCATCACCACCCTTCTCGAAACTGTTGATGGTCAGAACAGCTTTCGTTTTGCTTGAAATATTTGGCGAGCACTTGTATATGTCATAATACTCGCCTTCCTTACAGCATTCAGAGTCATTTTCCTGATTGCATTTCTCCTTAGGTGGTTTTTTGCCCTTAATCTTGCCACTAGGCTTGCAGGATTGAGCATCAACCCCTAAATTCGAGGCCATAATAAGCAGAAACATAAGGAGAACTGGGAAATTCTTCATTTTCTTTACTCTCTTCAATAATGTGTGCTGCAAGTTAGTTGGTTCCCAGCATTTATATACTGTATGTATAGCATAATTTAGTTCTTATCTGTCCGCCGAGATGATTGACATAAACAAGGGAATCCTGGTTTCACAATATTCTATGCTGATCATTTAAATATCAAGATTCAAGATGGGATCCCTTATTGAATCCAAATCTAAATGAATGTCCTTTGGTATCTTATGTCGGCAGGCAGCAACAGATTTATATTGTATATAATAGTTCTGCTTTGTATTGTTCAGGTTTCATATTTTTTATAACACGATCTAGATTAGGACTTCCCAGTTTTGAGAGAGAATTACAAAATGTCATCTTTAATTCATGAGTCTTGATTAGGCTACAATCATCGTGTTACTGGTAATGGTAGAATTAATTCATTCTGTATATTTACGCAGATGAAACCATAGCATAAAGACAATTACGAGAGAAACAAGAAATGAAACACTTGGTTGGTCCATTTCTCACAAGATTAATGTCGTTCCAAAGTATCTTTGGGCGGCACCATATATTCTATGAATCAAATGATTCATGTTTTGAATGATGTCAAATATGGTTATTGATTAATATAAGTTGTCCTCTGATATTCTCAGCCATTGGAATCATCATCGTACTCTTTATCTCTGCTTAATAGTAAATTATATTTTCCTTGGACAAGGAGGTTGATAATGATGATCCTCATCACATCCAATAGTATAATCACATTCATCCACAACCATTGCACGTGCTTCGGCCATAAGAACTTATGGTAATGCTGTTGAGGCACCTTCCTCCTCCACTGTAGCATCCAGTCGATGAGACAATAGGCGTATATCATCATAGTGCTACTTGTCAAATTCTGATGGCACACCATCTCTACTCTTCTCGAAACTATTAAGGGTCAAAATTTACACACCATCTCTACTCTTCTCGAAACTACCTTACATAAATTTTCCCAGTTGAGAATGCCAATATAGTTCACAATATACAAAGTGTTAGGCATTATGTTTGCTGAAAATGATGGGGGAATCAGATATTCCAGTGGACTGTTCTCCAGATTCTGCCATTAATTTACTCCATCATTTTCAAATATTGCATAAGACTCTGCCGTGGCTGATAGGTTCCTTTTTGTATTGTTTTCTCATCTTAATAATAATAGCAAAAGTCTCGCCGTCCAAGAGAAAATGTAAACCTTTTAGATGAGATGAGTTAGAATAGTATGAGAGTAGCCACAAAAGTCACGGGTTTAAGTCTGGCCTCTACTCATTTATGACCTTGGGCTCCAAGTGACTGAAAAATATAAATAAAGAAATTAGTCCCGCCTCTAATAGCTTAGTCTTTAGATGCGATGGTTTAAAAAACTATCTAAAGGAAAGACGGGGCATTGCTTAAATATAAATTTTCACTAAGACAGGTCAGTGTGTGCTGTTACAGTGATTTGAGAAAATGTTAGTCATTACAAATCACAGATAATTTACAATCACTCACAGTTCGTTTGAACCCTTCTATGGATCTTATGACTAAATAATATTAACATTCTTCATGAATACTCTTCTAAAGGATTCTTTAGTACCTTGAGCACAATCTTGGCATTTTCTGTGGCCAAACTTAAATATAAACCAATCAGTTGATCTTGCTTTTCACCAAAACAAATCATTTCAATAGTGGGCTTTGAGTGATAGAGAGAAAAGATGAAGAACTTAAGCTTAGGAGCATTTCTTTTTGTAGTACTCTTTCTTGCTACTCATTTCTCTGAGGCTAGATTTCAAGGGTGCAAGCCAAGTGGCAATATAATTGGAAAAAAGCCACCTCCTGGACAATGTAACCAAGAAAATGACTCCGACTGTTGTAAACAGGGAAAGTCTTATCCCATTTACAAATGTTCACCCCAGGTGTCCAGAAGCACTAAGGCAGTTCTTACCATTAATAGTTTTGAGAAGGGTGGAGATGGAGGTGCACCATCAGAATGTGACAACAAATACCACTCTGATAACACTCCGGTTGTTGCATTATCAACTGGATGGTACAGTGGGGGGTCAAGGTGCCTTAACAATATCACAGTAAGTGCTAATGGGCGTAGTGTAACAGCTATGGTTGTTGATGAATGTGATTCTACCATGGGATGTGATGATGACCATGACTATCAACCTCCATGTCCAAATAACATTGTTGATGCCTCCAAGGCTGTCTGGAAAGCCTTAGGAGTTCCTGAAGATAACTGGGGCGAGTTGGATATCACTTGGTCTGATGCCTAGTTCAATTAATAGTGTTTTCGAGTTATGATGTTGTAAAATGATGTGCCCTGTATACATACCAAAGAATATTTAATACTTACTGTCCCTATTATTGGTTTAGGATTCTGTTTGTATAGTAATCTCCTTTATGCATGAATGAAAAAAATATTATCTTTGCATAATAAATTCTGCCTGGTGTTGATGATGCACTACCATGTAGTTAGTCACATTCATTCTAGGATGTCTCCAAATACCTACTACAGTATAACCTTTATAAATTTATAAGTTTGGGACAAGGAAATTTTATTATGTAATAGAGGTTATAAATTTATACAGATTCAATTTAGGACTATGTTACATGTATACCAAGGTTGACATAAAGGTTTACATAATGTCATATGACACTCTATTATTTTCCCGTTTAAAACCCAATTAGCTTTTTTATCCAAACTTTTCCCTCAACATCATTTAGGTCACTCCTGGCGAATTTCTTCTGTACCAACAGCAAAATCTGTCAATTTATACCATCAATTCAAGTTGGGACTAGAAATTTTATTATATTTAGAGATTATTTATTCATAGAGGTTGTACTGTATTTATCTTACACACTAGTGAAAAGATAAGCTTATCGTGTTCGATTTCCACAGCGCCATCTATATTTGAATTAGTCGCGATATATATGAGATGATAAAGAAGAACTTTTTACTTATAATATAGGTATATCATTGAGTTCACCTCTAAGTAATACTGTGAAACACTTTGCATTAAAAGCTATCTCTAAAATATGCTCCCGCATCACATACAGACTCTCCAAGACAATATCTAAGAACATACAAATTCTTAGATGTACTGTCAACTAGGATTTTCTGCAGAAAAAATACACAAGATTATTCATTGGACTGATATCCATTTTGTGCAGTTCATGGAAGTTAGAATCTGAAAGTTGGATACCAGATTATGGAAAAAATTTCCTTCTATTAGTTAGGAATTAATATTTTTCCTTTTAGTGTAGGATTTATTTTCCTTCTATTGATAGTATTGTACTCCTATATATAAGATTGATTTGAGTATATAATAAATCATTTCGCCTAAATTTCAATTTGGTTCCAGAGCAAGTTTGATCATGGCCAGCCTGCTGAGTGCTGTGAGTGCGCTGAATTGGCATGCGCATCGGCATGGCATCCAGCAGATTGCTGGCAAAGGCTTTGGCCAGCTTTCTTGCATGTACGACCCAAGTCCTTCAACGTGTGATATGTTTTTGATCTCCAATATGTATTTTCTATCATCGTCCCAATATCCAAATGAAATTCTTTTTGAAAATTCTCTGACACGGTATAACACGGAATTCATCTCTAAGTAATACTGTTTAACACTACATTCAAAGAAAACTCTACGATATGCTTCCGCATCAGATGTAGACTATCCAAGACAATATCCAAGGACACGTGAATTCTTAGAGATACTGTTTACTAGTATTTTCTGCAGAAAGAAATGCATAAGATCATTAGTTGGAATGATATCCAGTCTATCGTTCTTTGGACAAGACAGTATACATGATTAAAAAAGAAAAATAAGTCAAAATTTTATGGAGTAATACACCCCAAAACACGCCCTAAAAGTTTTCGGCATAGTTTCAAACAGGACAAAATACAGGACAAGATAGCTGGTTACAGAAGTAAAGGTTACTATAGGGTCATTATCAATCTCCAGATGATCACAGGCAATGTTCTACTTCAAACTTCCGTATTAAACTGAATACTATTCATAGATGTATTTGATTATATTCAGCCTTGAGCGTAATCTTGGCATTTTCTTCAGCTAAATTATTATTAAAACCGATTCGTCGAATCTGCTTGCATTCCAACATCCAGCAAAACAAAGTAAAATCATGAAGAAAATAAGCTTAGCAGCATTTCTTATTGTACTTGTCTGTCTTGCTCATTCTTCAGATGCTAGGTCTCAAGTTTGCAAACCAAGTGGAAAAGTAAAGGGCAAAAAGCCACCTCCTGGAACATGTAATGATTTCGTCTGCTGTATTCCAGAGACGCTCTATCCCACCTACAAATGTTCGCCTCCTGTTTCTATCAGAACTAAGGCAGTTCTAACACTAAACAGTTTCGAGAATGGTGGAGACGGTTCTGCTCCATCAGAATGCGACAACCAGTATCACTCTGACAATACACCAGTTGTCGCGCTATCAACTGGATGGTACAGTGGAGGGAGGAGGTGCCTAAAAAACATTACAATAAGTGCAAATGGCAAAAGCACAGTAGCAATGGTTGTCGATGAGCGTGATTCTACTTCAGGCTGTGATGAAAAACTTAATTATCAGCCTCCATTCCCAAATAACATTATTGATGCCTCAAAAGCTGTATGGAAAGCCTTGGGGGTTCCATTGAATGAGTGGGGCGAGTTGGATATAATTTGGTCTGATCCTTAGGCCTACATGTTTCCAATTGCTTGCAGAGAAACATGAGTAGAACTCTTTGTTGGTCCACAAATCAGAATATCAACGTCTGTCCTAATTATCTTTATTGATTATTGATTTTCTGAATGATGTCAAATTTAGTAGGACTATTGATTTCATCACTGAATAAGACACTACTGTCAAGTGAAATAATATTATTCTTAACACTCTTTCATACATACATATTAACAATACTTTACAGGATAGCAAATTAATTATACTATGCATTGGACCATATTATGTGCAACCAACCCTAGTCATCTTCAAGCACTGCAAGACTTTCCAGACAGCTTTCGAAGAATCAACAACGTTATTTGTAATCATGGTCCACATCAGAACTCATAGTATATCAACTACCGTAGCACTCATTTGTTAAGGATCCTCCCCCTCTGTTGTATCAACCAGTTGATAGTGAGACAACAGGGACGTATACTTTGTAGTTACATTTTCTGATGGTGTGCGACAATCTCCACCCTTCTCGAAACTGTGAAGGGAATTTGCACTCACGTTTAGATAAAGTAAAAACATATAAATAAAAAATGGTTAATTTAAAAAAAAATGAGAAAGGGGAGTTATATTAATTTTCTTATATTTTGAATTTGTTCTTTATTATTT